GCAAGATAGTAAGTTGGGCGAGTAGATTGAAAAAGAGTGTACAGGTCAGCGCATATCCACTCCTTTTCTCATTCATTTCGAAACGTCTAAATTTATAAAAATTTAAAAAAAAATGTTATGAATTTGAAAATTGAAGCACCTTCACTGATTTAGATGCGATTACTGGTTAAAGCAGTGCAGATTGAGGAAAAACTACTATAGAGCAAAGTGAAGCAATGAAATAGCAATACGATGCCACCAGCTCCATTGTTTAACCAGTCTTCAAGATGTTAAGTCAATGAAACTGTTTCAAATTCCCAACAGCAGAGTTGTTAAACTTTAGGAGATTCTGGCGTGGGACACAAGAACCCGGGTGCTGAAAGCAGGTTGCTAAGCGGCTTCTAGCACGGCGCAGCTACAGTGATTTCGTGGTTATGATGCTCCATTGCTGAGCTAAAGCTGGCGGGATCAAATCGTTACCGCAGCGCCCACATTCACCTAATCATTTGACATAATTTTATAGTTTTATCTAATTTGTTACACTGTTGCTACCCTGAGACTTGGTACTCTGAAACAGCTTTCCTTTTTTAAATGTGTTGATACATATGCTAGTTCACATGTCCGAATGCTTGCACCTTTGCTTTCATAGTTAAAAAAAATAATAATAAACATTCACTACTTAGCCTGCACTGATTTTTTTTTTAAAGTCTAATGCTTTCACGGCTCTGAAGTGACAAATTTTGCAAGTCGTTGTTTTATGCAGAGTCTGATCCCTTTGGAATGACAAAACCAGCTTGTGCTTTGTTATCAGCTCAAAAAGTTATTTCATCCAGTTATGTGAACCTAACTGCATAGGTATGTTGACTAGACATGCATTTGCGCACCCGCAACCCCTATGGTTTTTTTCTTGCAAGGATGTTCACCAGAATTATACCCACTGAACTATAAAAAAATTAACAAGTCGATGTCACTCCTAACTCCTCGATGCATACATGCATGACAGTGCTTCTCTAGTAGCTGGATAAAAATATTTCACTTTCGCTTTATTTCCTTAAAGACCCCGAGTGGGGGCATTACATAAGGGATGGGTGTACAGTAAGGATAGATGATACATGACCATTCAGGATGAGAGGTGCACTTTTACAGCAACAATGAAAGCATCTGGGTTGGTGGTGGCAACGACGATGTAGGGAAGGCCGTTCCAGTTTACAATGGTGCGTGGGAAAAGAGAAGACGAGTAGGTGAGAGTACGGGTTTGAGGACGAGCAACACTTAAGCAATGGCCTGTACGAAGGGATATGCGAGCAGGCGGTGAGATGTAAGGTGGCTGATTGAGTGAACTGTAATACATTTTGTGAAACAGGGATAGGCTGGCAGTGCGATGGCGACAAGAAAGGGTGGGCAGGCCAGTTGCCGCCTTTAATGAGGATACACTAACGTTATACGAATATGATGAGTGAATGAACCTGATGGCGCGGTTCTGCACCATTTCTAATGCGTCTATGAGATAAGATTGATGAGGATTCCAGATTGCGGACGCGTACTCAAGTTTTGGTCAAATTAAAGATTTGTATGCGATGAGTTCAACGTGAGGAGGAGAGCTGCATAAATCACGTCTGAGAAAGCCTAGGGTTTTGTTACTGGATGAGATGACGTTGGACACATGCGGAAACCAATTGAGATCTTTGGAGATAGTTACACCAAGATATTTGAAGGTACTAACAGATTCAATAGGAGTGCTAGCAATTTTGTACGGATAGTGGAGAGGGCTTCGCGAGCGGGTGACGGACATTAATTTACATTTACTGGGATTCAGGACCATCAGCCAGCGATCGCACCAATTCAGGATTTTAGATAAACTGCTCTGCAGCACAGCCTGGTCGGAGGTATTTCTTATTGACTGGTAAATGACGCAGTCGTCCGCGAACATACGAATAGAGCAAGTAACTTCCAATGGCAGATCATTGATATATATCAGGAACAATAGGGGACCCAGCACGGAACCCTGGAGGACGCTGGAGGATACAGGGACGGGGTTAGAGGCTATGTTATTGATACACACACACTGAGACCGATCAGTAAGAAATTCTTTAACCCATTGTATGACATCTGAATGCAAACCTAAGTGGGAAAGTTTTATCAGCAAGCGTTGATGTGGTACCTTGTCGAAGGCTTTAGCGTAGTCAAGGATTATTGCGTTTACCTGTATATTAGAGTTCATGTTGGAATGCAGATCATGAATAAAAAGAGCGAGCTGTGTTTCACAGGACAGACCTTTGGGAAAACCATGCTGTGATGAATGGAAAAAATTGTTGGAATCGAGGAAGCTCATGATGTTAGTGTAGATAATATGTTCCATGATTTTACATGGTATGCTGGTTATGGAGATGGGCCGGTAGTTTAATGGTGAAACTATGTTACCTGACTTGTAGACGGGAACGACCTTTCCCACTTTCCATTCGTTCTGTAGAGTGCCTGATGATAGAGACTGATAGAACAACAAGGTTAAGACTGCGGCAGAAATATGTTTAGTGTTTTTTAGAAGTTTAGAAGTGACGTCATCAACACCTGTGGACGAAGAAACCTTTAGCTTTTCAATTAGTGATGCTATGCCTTCGGCCGAGAAATTTATAGCCGGCATTATTGACATGATAGGGGTAGGGCACGCAGGCAGGGGGGCGTCTGGTTCGGCTGTGAAAACGGATGAAAAAGCGGTGTTGAATGTATTAGCGCAATCAGAATCTGAAAGGATATCACCCTGATCCGTATAGATACGGAGAGAGTGGTTGGGCTGAGGGTTAATTATCTGCCAGAATTTACAGGGGTTATTCATTATCATGCGAGGAAGGTCCGAGTGAAAAAAGGAATGTTTACATTGACAAACTTCTGCGAGATATGCGCGTTCAGCTTGATAGTATCTGTCCCACGAGTCGGCATTTGGTTTAAACTTCGCGTTACGAAAGAGCCGCTTCTTTTTGTTCTCAAGTGTTTTAAGGTTTTTGGTATACCACGGCTTATGACAATTAGAAGGAATAGTGGTGACTGGAATATATTTGCCTGCTAAAACATTCATCTTGCCCTAAAAATCTGACCAGTTCTGTTGCACAGAGCGATTGTGAAATGTCGACTCGTAGGACCGATAAAATTCCTGCAGTTCGTCGTTTATGGCCGAGTAGTTACCTTTATTGTAGAGGCGAATTTTTTTTGCTGGGGAATGGTGAAAAAGTGGTTTGAGGCATGAATTACTTTATGGTCGCTTATTTCTTTAAGGTAACTAACTGATGACATGAATTCGGGATGCAATGTCAGAATAAGGCCAAGCGTGTTAGCACAATCTACCGTGACACGAGTTGGTTCTTTTATCAGTTGGGTCAGATTATGGTTAAGGCAGAAGTCCAGAAATTCAGCAGCCTCCGAGTTACCTGTAGCTAATTGCATAGAAGACCAATCAATACTGGGGTAATTAAAGTCGCCGAAAAGCAAGATGCATGCATTAGGGTGCCACTTGGCTAAATCACTCAAAATATTGTTAAATTTGCTGGGAAAATCGGAATGATGAGTAGGGGGCCTGTAGCACACGCCAAGAATAATAGATGAAGGTTCGGTACGGCAGATCAGCCACAGAATTTCGAAATCACTTGATATATTGACAGGGCAACAAGATAGTTCAGTATGAACGGCGATTAATACCCCACCCCCTCTGCCACCGTGTCTGTCTTTTCCACCGTGTCTGTCTTTTCGAAAAATATCAAAGTTGGGAAAGTTGTTCGAAATTTCAGCATCAGCGATTACACTAGAAAGCCATGTTTCGGTTAGTACAACTACATTACTATCGGATGATGACACCGGATTTGACACTACTTCACGTTTTGGACGGTAGCTGCGAATGTTAGTGAAGATAATCGAGAGTGAAACGGTGGCACGGGGCATGCGAGTAAGGTGGCTGCGCGGTTGACGGGCGTGACGAGATAGCTATAGTTGTTCTTGCACACTTTGTGAAGCTTCATCAAAAAAGAAGCGTCGTGGGCCGATGTGTAGCGTTTTATATTGAAGTGAGAAAGGCATGCACTTATTTTTTGCAAAGGCGACAAGGTGTTTACGTGCGTTTTGTACCCGTTGGGAAAAGTCCTCCCCAATGCCGTATGTGGTACCTTTCAACTTGCGAGCGTTAGTAAGGATCGCCTCTTTCGTCTTAAAGGCAGAAAATCTGACAATTATGGGACGATTATGGCCAGAGGTATGGCGACCCAAGCGATGCACTCTTTCTATTTCTTTTGTGTTGACTGTTAAATTCAGTTGTTTGGAGCAAAGTTGGATGATCGCTTCTTCAGGGTGTGCACGCGATTCAGATGAAGAATCGGGGATACCATAAAAGATCAGGTTGTTGCGGCGGGACCGATTTTCAGCATCATCAAAACGGCTTTCTAAAAGAGAAACACGATACACAGTTTCGGTGTTGTCAGTCTGTACGGTTCCAAGCTGCTGCCGCAAATGCTTGATGTGTTCACAACTCGCTTCCACAGAAGCCACATGCTTAGCGAGCTCGGCGATAGTGTTATTCGTGGCAACAAGTTGTTCCTTAATGTCTTTAATTTCCGTAATGACAGTTGCTTGACCGGCAGTTAGCTTACGCAGCTCGGCGAGAATCGCCGCATTATCGGGTCCTGGGTTCGTCTCGATATCACCCGCGACTAGCAGCTCCTTAGGAACGCAAGACAGCTCCACACTCACAACAAGTAGCAAACAGGCGCTGCGGGCTTGGCAGCTGAAGTAAGAAGTAATTGCTCGACTTTTTTGCGTATAGGCTGTATGAAGGACCAACCTGCATGATCAAGTGCAGAGGATTAGTGGTCACTCTCGCAGAACAGCTGCCGAGCCCACAAGGCGATGCCAACGGGGCCGGTGGCTTTATAGCTTGGGGAACGATTGATGTCGTTGACAATAGGGCCTTCAGAATTTTATCTTTAGGCATCTTTAGGCAAATCTTTAGGCATTTTAGAGTTTTGCAGCTATGCACTTACCAGAATTTCCTCGCGTGCACGCTGTAGGTCACCCGTCTGCTTAGTATATGCTTCCTGCAGTTTTGCAAGTTCCAACCGCAGCTTCTTGCAATGAAAAAAAAAAGAAAAGAAAAGAACAAATATAGTTAGAACACAAAATAACAAACTTATTTTATATAATGAGATTCTTAGACTTGTGTAAATATCTGAGCACTTTGAATATTCAAATGAATACCAACACATTCAAATTCAGTTTGATTCGAATTTAAATTACTGAAAATTAGGTGTACATCAATCTGCATGTAACCCCTGTAAAGGTGGTTTCACTGTATTGAAGAGGTGCTATATCACAAGCACATCCATGGGTAGAAGAGAGTACATGGGCTTGGGAGCAGTCCTAGGAGCAGGCAAATTGCCTTTTGCAGCAGGCTTGGAGCATATACAGAAAGACGTTTTACAGCAGGCATGGAACAGCCAGAAAGGCCTTTTCGAGCAAGTTAAGAGCAGTCAGAGAGAACGTTCAGATCAGCTGTAGGCCCGTTTCACGGCACTTGTGAAAAAACATTTGTTCCATGCCTCATTTTGCCCACACCAAGCTAAACTGTGCAATAGCCTTGTTAACTTGATAAAAATTATGTGGACACTATCAACAGGTTTTTGCTTTTGTTGTAATGTCCCGTATAAAGTAAAAATTGATAACATATCTCTGTTCATCATGTATTTTACCCTACGGATAAAAGCGTGCGAGAGGGGGCAACGAACGTGGCTGAAGCAAGGATAAAACAAGCTGGCTCATCCCCGTCATTCAAGGGCGCATGCGATGACATCACCCAACTCGGGAGGCCTTCTGTCAAAGCCGAGCGAATGTCATGCCCTCCTTCAACGAGCATGAAAAAAGGGGGGTGCTTCTCGGGCAGCAACTGTGAACTTTGCTTCTAATAGCACAGTGACGATTGCTGGCTCGTGCGCTATCTCGGCAGTCATCAGTGGGTGGCGCTCTCGTACGCTTTGTTGGCTCTGCTCTCAATGCAAGGAGACTGTGCCAAAAATATTGCTCTCCCTCGCATGGTCGTATTTTCATACTCCAGCATCTTGTAGAGTAACATGAAATCTTATCTGAAAGACTTGGATGTCAACATCATATTTTGCTGCTATTGCATTCGTTGCTGATCCATTGCTATGCAACTGTAACTTCTTTAGCAATGTACAGTTGGCCACACATTTTTAAAACCCGAATGTGCAAAAATGAACTGCCAAGTCCATAAGCACCGTATAAAATAGCACAGCGGCGAACTGAACAATACGCGTATGCGCTTGATGAATAGTCCTGTGCGCCTGTCTTTACCAGGCTGTTCCAGGAGCCTGACACTATCCCCACTTCTCTTGAGCACCAATACTGCCATCCTTTCTGTTTCTCTCTTTCTTTTTCTGAATGCTGCCATTAAGTTATTAAAAATATCAGTTTCTCTGCGAGGGTGAAGCGATGAATGCAATAGCAACAGATTATTATGTTATACGAATGACGACTGGCACCTAACTCTGCTGGATTCAATAGCGCGTAACTCTACATTTCACTGGAGAGATGCTCTACTAGCTGTCTCTTTGCGTTGAGAGCACAGCATGTAAAAGGGTTTACAGGCCATTTGTGCTGATGCCTGCCGAGATAGCAGGCGCCCCATCCCTCTCGACCTTACTATCATAGTTCACAGCTGCTGCCCAAGTGATTGTAGCCTTGACGAAACCACTGATATAACTGTTTTGATGAAACTGAAAGCACAATGTTTCAGCTACGTTTTCATGCATGGGGGCACCTTGCAGCTGAATTGGGGAGCTACAGCACAGTACGGCACTGAGAAGTGGGTTTGGCACAACAGGGGTGGTTCCAAGCAGGTAAACAAGTTTGGAACACAATGGCCCAAACAGCGAAACTATTCTACTGCTGCACACCTTAGAAAATCTACATTGCTACGAAGCCCCTTCTCAAGGTTGCACGAACATATTGCTCTGACATCAATTTGTAAGTTTAGAAGCTTGTTATGCTAGCTTATATGCTATCTGTAGAACAAGACTTAAAATGAGTATATTTTAAAGGTTATCACTTGCATTCTACCCAAGTCAAATCCTGCTACTACTCATAGTTGCTTCCATTCACTTTGAACCAAAAAGAATGACATTTGCACATTGATTCAAATACAAAAAATATTGCACAGGTTATTTGGATCATTGGCAATATGCTAATCTTTCTTCATTATATGTAATATATGCTATTCAAATTTGATTTCAAAATTATTCAAACTAAAACACTATTCACTTCCAATCCACTTAAAACCTAAAATTTACTACTCGCACAAGCCTGAAGATTCTTACTATATAAAGTATTTCATCTTTTATAATTTATATACAAGAAATACCATGTACTTTTCACCAGATTGACCAGAATAAAACGAAGAATGTTTAACCTCAATTTCATTATCACTACTGCCTCGAATGGAAATCAAGGCAGTTAGATGAATCTTCTGCCCATACCGCAGGTGATCCGATTGACTTGGACACAAATTTTGTAGATTCGATTTTTTTTAATTGTGTGCTGTGCGACAGAAAGCGATTGCTGAAGAGGATCAGCATGTTTTCCAGCAGTGACAATGGAGAAACAGTGCACCTCAGCAACATTTTTAATAAAAATCCTGTAAAAGTAAGGCACCTATTATTTCAGCACACAAACTCTATGTCTAGATGGAAACACTTTGTTGCAGCTGAAATAACACTGTTTTGACTAATTAACAAAACCTGCTAATTAATTTTTGTTATTGACTTGATGGCAGTTGTTTATGAAAGGTATAGTGCATGACAATTTATGCACACCCACCTTTCAAAAATCACAAAAGCTACATGTAATTCAAGATATATATCATTCAACTTTATGGCCAATATCGATACTAACCACACCCAGCACGCACGAAACGCAACCACTCTATTATGTCTGACTGAAACTACCCCTTATAAAGAAGTGACAAAGCTTATAAGAAGGCGTGATGTGGCTGCATTTGTTTGTGAAAAGCGGCAAGTCGTCTCGGCTTCACCAGAAGACCTCCTTACCATTCGTGTGGTGAAAAAAACAACAAAAAATCATGCAGTGTCAGCATTTTCTTTCCCCAGAAAGCTTAAAACTCGGAGGCAGCAACTGTGGTGCTTCAGCCTGCATCTAGACAAAGCTTTTCATACCTTAAGAGCTATTTAAGAAAAAGAGCTATAAGCACCCCACATCACACCCTAAAATTAACTATCCACTTCCGTACTTCAGAATGCTTGCCGATTTTACTAACCAGGCTCAGCTACAGTCTGCCTCGATTCAATTTTTTTCTTTTTTGTTTGTGTATTTTAGTTCTAACATAACAGAGAGGCTGCATTTCCTCAAATCACGCACAATTTTCGTGATTTCTGAAAAAGGGGGTATGTCGTAAAATGCCATACACTACAACTTTCTATTGTAAATGAGTGTCCTCAAGTCAATACATAATAAAAATGTTATTTATTGAGTTGCTAACTAGACATGTCAGTGTCATTTCAGTTTTGGCAAATTATTTTCACTATATCATATAGCGTATTTACTTGCTTTATGGATGCACTTTTTTTCTCAAAAAAATCAGAGCAAAGTTGAAGGTGCGTTTATTATGTGGGGAAAATTTTATGAGAATTTTGCGCGATAAGCAGAAAATGCGGTAATGCAACAAGGTTAGGTCGTTTAGCTTTTCGCACTTGTCATACACGTACAATGTTTGGGAACAGCTTTTTGTTGCACTTCACTCATCTTCGATGGTTGAAGGCGCTATCTACTGTAAGCTTCCCCTGCGCCACTCGCACACTCCATAAAAGCGTTTCGCAGCTTTCTATTCTTGTAATCGTTTAAGGGCAACTGCGGTACCTGCTGTGATCTAGAGGGGCACTCAGAAGCCTGCGCTACAATGCTGGGACGTATTTTGCCAACTCTGAGGCAACTTGGCACGATGACCATGACGAGGCTGTTGACATTGGACCAAGCTACCACTCAAGCATCAAAAACAAATCGTCAATAGAAAGATTAATGACAAAATGCGGCTGCCCTTTCGCTGTTCACATGAGAAGTTACTGTAGGAAAGGTAGCCTTGAACTACGCACAGATAACAAGCATGAAGAGTAAATTGCAACCGAAGCGAGAATCGGGGGTGCTACCATGTTGCAAAAATCGTCACGATCGTTTCTGGGCAACAAGCGATTTTTTGTGGTTTTCCAAAAACCTGTGACGAGAAGGCAATGAATGGCCCTTCACAACAGCCATGGGGACAGCAAACTTTGTAGTCGTCGCTTGAAAATCACGGGCGTGTGGGTGGGCCTCAAAGTTTCATATTTGCAGGAAGCGACCGTCGGTTAGCTCAGGCAGTTTCGTGACCTTCGCTCACTGTGTGCTTATTAACAGCGATGTCTTTATACTCACATTATTTGTGAACCCTGCTGTGGCGCACGGATAATAAAAGAAAGACAGGGGATGTACTGGGTACAGATACAAGAACAATAGGGCGCGCGGCAGCGGGCGTAGCAGGGGAGGGAGTGAGCCAAGAGGGTGGGGGGCAGGCATAATATAAAACGAAAGAAATCCAACGGGCAAGGAGGTGTTAAGTGTCGGTTTGCGGGACTGCAGCGGATGAATGTAGGGGGTGCGTTTATTACGCAGGAAAAAAAAAATACAGATTTTGATGACTGAAGTTGGGGGTGCGTCTATTAAGCGAGTAAATACGGTAGTTACACAGTTTATTTCCACCAAGTGCCATGGATGCTTAGTCACGAAAGCAGGTAACATCAGAATAGAAAAGCAATAATAAATCAGCAGGTTTGAATCTTTATGAAATTGGTATATAGGAATGAGGTTTCCCAAGAACAAAAAATATAGTTTGTTCATTACACTGTACAAGCACAAATACAATTTCATTACACTGTACAAGCACAGAGCACAAAACACTAGCATAATATAGCAACATTTTATACAAACATGCATCATCGTTTATATATAGGAATGCACAAGTCACCTCGAGAGAAGTCTCATCTCTTGGTTCCGGTGCCGGTACAATCGTGAAGCTGCATATCAGCTTGAAGCTATCAGTCAGGCACCCTTTGATAGCTAGGCATCCCTTTGCAGCATCCTCAAGCAGACCTTTGCATTCAGGAGGCTGCAACAAGTAAAAGTGGAGCACATAAAAGCCCATATTCTAAATGTTTGAGCACAGCATTCACACCCATGTAGTGAGACAGAAACGCACTTTTAAAGTCAAGTGGATGCAGATGCACATTGCCAAGTACACGTTTTTACTCTACTGCAAAGCAAGATGCAGACATTAACAGTTGCTTTTGTGAAACTGCGTGATGTGAAGCCAAATGACGAAAAACTGCAAAGAGGAAAGGAAAGAATGTGAATTATTTCAGGTATTGTATGACATGCTGCTTGGTGTGACATGCATTGAAGTGCAACATCACAAATAATCAGCTAAAATGAGTTCATTTAGAAGGCCCTTACAAGGCCTGAATGCAAATTGATTATCAATTTTGATTATCAACAGAAAGTTATGGTGAGTGTTTTGCCAAAATAATTTTTTATGCTGGTTCATTATTTCAAAAGTTTAATTTTTAATGGTTTAAAATGGAGAAGCGCTAGCTGACAGGACAAGAACACACAAATGTAGGTGCAGACTAACAAGATTTTATTTTGAAGAACATATGTATGAAAAACTTATGTGCAAAATCTAAGTTCATTGTGATGCCTCATGAAGGTTAGTGTAAAGGGACATCATATCCTGCACGTGTGACACACGGCTACAACCTTCTGCTGTTGAGACAACTAAGTTAATTGTCAGTTAACCTGACAGTTGCCTCAATGAGTGTCTGTGGGAACATGTGAAGTCTCTGGACATGGAAAAAGGCAGAAACTTAGCAATTGATGCTGCATCGTGCAACTTCACACTGGCATTTGACAAATGCGAAATTCTCAGGCAACACAAAAACAGTAGAACATGTGAGATAGTGCTCGAGTGCTATATTCCAGTTGTGTCGGCAAAGAAAAAGCATAGCTCTGTTCCCCTGCCTGCCCCTTAAGAAGCCAGCAGAAAAAAATGCCAGATAATAACACTCATAACATTGTTTAAAAATAGGGCTACAATATAAAGAAAGCACTGCATAAAACTACGGTAGACTCTCGTTAATTCAAACCCAAAGGGACCTCTAAATTCTGTTTGAATTATTAGAAATTTTCAGATATATGACTATGGGTGAGGTGACACCATACATCATAATTAGACAATAATTTTATTAGATTAGAAAAATTTTAAAGCGTTCTTAACCCCTAACAGCACGCAGTGAACAGATAGCAGAGGTCTAAGGGCCACAAGTTTATTGTTCATTTACTGCTGATCAGACCTTTCACAAAAATCATCAATTGCCAACTGCTTCTTTGCCGTATGTGCCTTCAGCACAAAGCTCTCTATTTCAGTCTAGAAGCATCACGGTTTACCATGCGTGTGCTTTGTTTCAAACATTTGTTTTTTACTAGCAAAGCCTTTTTCCTTGAAGACCTGAGGCGCTTATTTTTCATTTTTATGCTGTTAGGATGATATAAGCACGCAAGTTTTCAAATAGTAGTGGGAAAGCAGCAGATATTTCCTGGTATGAAACAGCAAAAAGTATGGATTAACTGAATGATGGAGTTTGAACTAAGAGGCTTTTAACTGCATTGAAAGAATAGAGAACCAACCAAAAAATTGAATTTTGTTTGAATTCACTGAAAGTACGGATTATCAGATTGAGTTTATCACAAGTCTACTAAAAGCTTTAGACCTGGTTATTTCCTTAAACACGAACCAAATGTCCACTTAATGTCAATTTTCAAACACAGTCAAGCATCATTAAAGGAGCACTGACATCAAATTTACGAATGTGAAGTTTTTTGCATCCATGAGTAGTTTAGTTATCCACCCCCCAGTTGAGATTTGTGACACAAAATACTGCTGATCAACGAATAACTGTGTTATTTTGATTTAACATCATCAGTATCTAGCACGTTTCAAAACAGCTAGAAAGCCTGCCACACATGCCCTCCTGCCAACTGACTATTTCTCCACGGAAGGGAGTGACGTCATGCTTCACTGCTCCGCTAACATTTCGTCTGCTAAGAACACACATTCAATCATGTCTTGTCTCATTTAGCGATATTGGGGAGTTTGGCATGTACATCATCCTGGTATAATCAAAGGGGTCTAAGGAATAGTGGTATAGCAAATGTACACCAGCAGAGACATAAAATATGTTAAGTTTCTACATAAAAAATTTTGTGCTTGCCAGGTGGTCCTTTACGCCTCCAGATGGCGCCACCTATCCAGCCTCTCATGGTTGCGACAGCAGTAACCCAGTATTACAATAGTACAAAGAAGTCTACAGACAAACTAAAATTTACTATTAACGATCCTGCATGTTACTTGCTAGCGACAACGTTGATCTACAATATAAATGACTCCACTTTGATAGCCTGAGATTGTGTTGGCACGTACCAAACGTGTAATGAAACAACACACTCCTTGCACTTTTTCGACACTTTTAACAACAAGATTGCAGCTCGCAACAGTTTCCCAAAATGTTGATGAACGAGCACACGTCAAATCATGCTCTTTGCTTTCGCCTGTCTTTTACTAGAGGCTTCAATCTTGTAACTTTACGAAATCATTCAAAGCGGCGCGACAAAGATCAAACATGAAGAACAAAAGCATTGCCAGGTGTTGGCGCCAAAATAAAAAAAATTGAATCCTTGACGTCATCGCTACTAGAACATTCGTCACTCGGTATGGCATGTACCACAGTGAAGATGTCAAAGTAATGTTAATGTTTCAGGGTGCTGAAAGCCCTCTTCGAGCTTTCATATGCTCTTTGCTCTCTAAATAAAGCTTCTAGGTGAAAGACACCATTCAAACTTGGTCAAAATACTTGTGCATACTGAGCAATCAAATGAAGACATATCTAGAAATTTTATGTCAGTGTCCCTTTAGTACACCTGTGCTTTAAAAAATGTAGTAATTGTTAGAACATAGTTCTGATGAATTCTTGAGGTGGAGTCAGCAGGGGTGAGATAGCAGAGTCTAAATTGGGAGTACGTAGTTTTTTGGAGCAGCAGAATTTCAATTCTGGAGCGCAAGAATCTTGCTTTGAAGCAGTTAGTGGCATTTAATATGTCGTCCTGGAAGGTGGAAAAGACAATGTTTTGGCAATATGGGGGCACCAGTGCATGTTTTATTTGGCTAAAAATGCCCATAACATAAACAGATTTTTAAGAAAGCTTTTGAACAGATTATCGCCAGGTATGAACTGCACTACCTTTTTACATACCCCATGACCTAGCTAGGCCTCACCAAAAACATGTTTAAAAATATTTAAAAAGGTTTTGTTGAAAAATACGTTCCCAGAAAACACTGAAAAAAAAAAAAACAACAACACACATCACACTCAAAAGAAATTCATAAACTGTGATTGCACAAGAATCACAGTGGGCCTCCACTGAAAGAAAAGCATGACATGATAGCATGAAGTGTACTGCAAGCTTTTAAGAGACAACAAAAGCCAAAAGCGCGCTGCCCCACCATTCGCAGCCACCTCGAGCAGGACCACCTTCAAGAGTACTGTGCAGGAACCAAGAAATCTCGTTGCACCAACTACCTTGTAAAGTGCGTGCATATGGCACTAAGTGAAAAGCGAATGGTACTGATAACGCCTCTCCACGCGAGTAACTATGCATTATTAACACGGCCCAGGTTGACTTCTTCTATTTTCTTTACTATATTTTAGGCCACCACTGTTGATGTAGAACTCCCGATAGTATATCGACTTATGATTGCTGTTCGCGCCACTCCGCGACTCCCGCAGAGCAGGTAAGAAATTAGTGTCCACGCAAACAAATCGCTGAATGTACATAGGCCGGTTTCATTGCAAAGAAAGAAGAAAAGAAAGAAAAAATGAAGTTCACCAGTCACACTGCGGCACAGCCGCTGACCCAAACATCGGTCGAATGTAAAGCTAAGCCTAAAACCTCATGTAGCCCAGAGCCGGCATGCAGCGACGCCTTTTAAAACACTTCTTGCGAGCTTCGATTACGAAACAGAGCCATGGCAAATTACCGTTCATCAGTGCCACGTGACATGTGATCGCCAACGTGTCATGAGTCCCGAATAAAGCACCGAGGAGCCTGCTAATATTGTTTGAAATGGTTTGAACACTCGTTCTGTCACTATGGTTTCACAAATAACCAAATGTTTCTCTCTACCGGCAGACATTGATGTGCCGATTTCGCGTGCGATGACTTTTTTAAATGCAAAATGCAACGAGAACTTGCTTGTCTAAATAAATAAGTAGATAATGGGCGTAAACCGGGAATGGGTTGCACACGTTCTGTCGCTCACAGAACCCCTATTGTGAACCCATGAGCATGCACCAAAGCATCCAGGAGACGCGTCGGATGCAGGGAAATTACTTCACGTTTACAGTTACTCGCTCACGGCAAACGCGCACGTGTAGGTAATTGCACGCAGCAGTGTCAACCTGACAACCGCAGTGACCCGAGGAATGCGCTATGCAAAATAAAGAACCGGAGAGTTAACCCTGCTACACTTGCCACCCGACTCGGTGGTTTTCGCTAAGCCACAGTGGCACCAGAACACACGGCTTAGCTGGTAGAAGCAGCACACTCAATGCACGGCAGCAAATTCTTGCGGGGTAATGCATATTTACAACAGTTTAGAGGAGATTATGACAGCACCATGGGGAGCCTTCATCAAGAAAAGTGCAAAGTAAAAAACATGCTTGGGCGCGTCTTATCAGTCAACGCGGCCTTTTCCCTCCCTGAAACTGAAGTTGGCATCAAAATTCTAGCTTTCTAGGCTGTTCTGGAGCAGTTCGGTGCAATTTTCACAATTTTTATGCTTTTGGAGCAGTTTGGCTCAAGAAAACGGAAATGTATCAAAAATGCGCAATATGCACAGACGTCTCACCCCCCAGAGTTCCGTAGAGTACAATGCATTTGGCCTTGTAGAGCCTAATCCATTCACTCACCACTAAGCCGTAGTAGTCCTATGTCCTCTGGTTAGTGCACCTTGTGTATACCCTGTGTACTACAACAGCTCTTTCTGCCATAAAACTTTACTATGCCACTGGACCTGCCAATGCCATAATGTGCTGTGAAATGTATTCCATCTTTTCTAGCAGTGCAGAAATCGGTTGATCAACGAGTGCTTCTTCTACATAATTGTGGACTTCCACCTTTGCGAGTAAGCATTGAGATAGGGCGAAGACGAGATGGTGGCCGCCAACAAACATTCCATTATGAATTATCACTGACAACCCTATCACAATCAGTTCTTTGAGCTATCTGCTTGGGCAAAAGTGTGGCGTGGCACTAGTTAAAGCCTATCAAAAAAAAACAGCCACACTTCTGTGTTAAATATCAAAGCAGGGCCTGTTTGACATAAAAGCAAAACCAAACAAAGTGTGCATCAAGCTTTCCTGGCTGTTATATTATAGCTTCAGACATTCATAGAAATTCCTTTTTTTTTTGCTTGAAGTTTTTTTTTTGCCATTCTCTTTTGAAAGAAAAACAAAAAATGTACAACAGTGAACTCCTGCCACATCTTTAATTAGTATGCACATTTTACATGCTTAGTAATGGTAAAAACTGTGAACTGACCTCTGTGCAGTCTGAAGCGAAATCGGCTAGAGCTTCCAGTGCTTGTTCAACAACACTTTCTACTCGACGAATCAGGCAGATACTTTCGTCCACCCGCTTCTTTAGCTGTTCATGATCAGACAACTGGACAATGGCCGACATGCGAACTCCAGGTGATGAAATATTGCAGGAAAAAGCAGGTAGTCCACTCTTTGAAGCTGTAAGAGGTGGCAACAAAACCATCACAAACCTATTTCCCAATGCCTCAAAATGTGCAGTAATATATAGACTTGAACACAATATAAACCTGAAATAGCAGAGAGAAACTTGCAAAACATTTATTGTTCACTAACTGAATGCTGAATAACAAATAGCCATCAGTCATATTACAGTTACCCTTCAGTATAACTAAATTGGTGAAATAATTTGCAATTTACTTTATTATACTAAAACTCTTAAATTGAAATTTGACTATCTATGACAAGCTTTGTTGGCAAAGGTTTCTTCGCTCAGGAAGTGAAAGAAGAATGTTCGAAAAGGCATGATAATACAGCCGGTGGGCCAGAGGGCAGTATACTTGGGCCTCTTTAACATTTATATTAATGATATTGCAAACTTTGATGATCAATCCAGATTTATTATTTATGCAGGTGACACCACAATCCTCCAGCCAGCTGATATACACATTGAGCTATCTTCCCATGGTAATAATGTTTTAGGTAAGCTAGAACTTTGGAGAAAGCAAAATGCACTGCTAGTTAATGTAAATAAAAGTAAAACTAATTTTTAATTCCGTAAATAAAAAATCAGATACTTCAGTATATTCGCGGTATAAATCCCAGCCAGTTGAAATTGTCAGGTCAATAAAATCACTAGGAGTTCATTTCACACAGGATTTACAATGTAGTAATCGTGTCCACAGCATTTTATTAAAAGCATCCAGAGTGTTTCGTATACTTTGGTGACATAAATCTGTTTTACCTTCAAAGGCAAAGCTTGCTATATGCCACACTTTATTCCTTTCACATTTGAACTACTGCATGTTAGTGTGGGCGACGGCGACTAAAACTACTTTACAAAAAATCTCATCTCTTCATAATAAAATCCTCCAACTAATTTATAACCTTCCTCACAGACATATAACAGATCACTTGTTTAGAGAACATGAAATCATCAATATTTATAACCTATACATTTAAAGGCTTTTACGTCACTAGTATAGGATAAAAAATAAATGTTTATCTACTTTCACAGATATCGCTTCTATGAAACGTTATCAACCAAAATACCAACACTATCATCAGCCACCTTGGATGCTTTTTTGTACAAAAAGTAACTATTGACAACAAAAATTACTTATCAACTACCATTACAATGACACAGGTTATATTCATCAGGTGTTAACATAGCAGACATCACCCCTTCTCAACTTCTCTAATATCTTATCAATGCTTCTGGTAATTAAGATTTACCTTCAAAGTTCGTAGCTAAAAATTGGGAAAAACAATCAACAAGAACACAAGGAATGAAAATGCAATCACTGCTGCATGTAAATCATGTGTTTAGTGTATATTTGTGGTTTACGTATTGCGACTTTTGATTTACTTTTTTATATATGTTTATTGCACTGTGTGTGTGTTTTTTTGTTTTTGTCAGCACAACCATCTGCAGTGAGTTTGAAAGCTTTATGATAATTAATTTTGTTAATTTTGTGTATTTTTGTCAGCTATGGTGTTATGTAGCCGCCAACACCACTGCCTTATGTAAATAGGGGGGTGAGAACTATTCAAGCGGACAGTTGCTTTTATTCTCACCTCCTCAATCAACTGTGTATTAGTGGAAATAAACCACTATTAGTGTATTATTATTGTTATAATACAGCGGCACAAAACAACTTAGAGGGTGCTTAAGCTTTGCCTTGAACAGTGCAATGTGAGGGTGCTGAAGGGACCTTGACTTCTCATTCGCTTCCCATGCAGTTTTTCATCGGACACATCAACTGTGTTTTGAGGAAAGTAACATCTGTGGTCACGACATTGTCCGCTGTGTGCTCTCCTATGGCACCTACTGCAACCACAGTTGCAAATACCCACTAACGTATAAGCCTTTAAGGCAATATGTGTGCCTGCATGCCTGCATACTTTGTTGGTGCCATGGCCGACGATAAATTACACCTGAGCTTTCTGTAATGAACTGGGCAGCGAAATTTACAATGGCCGTGTTTTCAGTTTTGTGAAATTATGCGAACAACTGTCAGAAGAATTGAGCGAGTCCAATATGGCACTGCGAATTATCACTGCATGTATGCAATGGTTCAATTACAGCGTTTTTAAACAAGCTTTATTACTGAACATGCACACAATTTTATGCAGCTTAAAGTGGTGCCACTGGTAAGTGCAAGAAGCAAAAAACAAAATTTATCAGCTTCTTAAAACTTGTTGCACCAGTGCCCTCACTTCAGAACTTTCATTTGTAGTAAAGGTGCCTGTTCTGATTGCTTTCACTGGGACATTATCCCACATTTCTCATAGAGCCCTCAATAGCATCTTTCGAAGTTTGGGATCATGGAAGGCAAGCTGTGTGATATCCCAAAGCAAGATAACTCACCAACCGCAAGGACCGAACCTGCAATCTTCAAATGACGCTTGCAATAACATCCACTTGTCACCACAGTTAGGATCACTGCCAACACTAACAGATTTAAATGCAAAGATACACTCAATGAAGTGGTTGGGGGATGATTGTTGCTGTAGCTCAACAAGTAGAAAATAGGACACATTATTTTAAGGTTGCAGGTTTGGCCCCTGCTGGTGACACATTCTCCTTTTGTCCACTTTTATTTCTTCACATTTATATCATAATTACTACAAATAACATCTCCAATACTTTCCTTGGCCTTTTATATTAGTTCTCATTACCACAAGAAAGCATTTTAGTATTAACATTCTCCGTGTGCCTGTGCCCGCTGCGGTGGTCTAGTGGCTAAGGCAATCGGCTGCTAACCCGCAGGTTGCGGGATTCTCGGCCGCGGCGGTCGTATTTTCGATGGAGGCGAAAACGCTTGAGGTCTGTTTGTTCAGACTTAGGTGCATGGTAAAGAACCTCAGGCGGTGAAAATTTCCGGAACCCTCCACTACAGAGTCTCTCACAATCATATCGTGATTTTGGGACGTTAAACCCCAACAATTATTGTTATATTACCGTGAGGGAGCACACTCTAAAATAACTTTTTTTGATTGTTTACATAAATGCCTTTGTTTTGACCGCTGAAAATATCAAATGGATTGCGTATGCAGACGACACTGAATTTTTTTAAGCCCACAAATTCAGAGATGCTCACAAATTGTGTGACCACTGAGATACGGGACATCGAAAATTGATGCAATAAAAACAATTTAAAAATTAATGCTAAAAACACACATGTGATTATGTATCGTCCTAAGCATGAGGTCCTACATCTAAAAAGCAAGTTGTATTTGAACAATGAAATTAAAATTTCAAGTGAGGTAAGAGCACTAGCAGTTACATTTTTTGAAAATTTACTTAGGAACAAGCATGTCAACTGTCTTTGCAAAAAGCTAAACAGAATAACAGGACTATTACATAGACTCCGGCATGTCTTACCCACCATCTTCACTGAGTATAACTTTCTTTCTACACAAAGTTACTGCCACAGTCTGGGCTACGACATCAAAGCAAAATATCACTAAGTTTAACCTCTTTCATTGTGAAATTCTATATAGCACAGGACATGTAGATATTTGGTAAGCACAATTTTGGCATACCAATTATGAGCAGCAATTGGCATCGTGTCGTAGTGCTATTTTTTAAACACCTTAACTACACATGGATTAAGCCTGGATAGCATGTTTTCTTGCTCCTTTTTCATTCATTTCACTAAATCGCACTGTGATTCCAGCAGAGCATGAGTATATGTAGATGTAATGCACATGTGTTTATCACTTAGTTTAGGTAGTCATTGCATTTTTCTCTTGTGACCTGAGATTGTTCATTGCCACATCTTTGCCACATCTAATTTCCAAGCTTATTTCGCGAATATCTGTTTGATGCCGCTGCATTGCTTTGCGATATATATATATATATATAAATAAAAGCTCAACTTACTTTTACCCTTATTTCCATACTTATGCAATATGCCTTGGCTTATGCTAGCATGTCATCTACCTATAGTCAGCACGGCGCACTGTCGAACTGCAACACACCAGGCCGGGCTTAGTAAAGCTACAATACTACGCCCCCTTTCTCCTTGCCGAGATGAAAAAGTTTGATTTGATTTAACTTAAATATTGTGTCTGACAAAGTAAAAATAAGCCCTTAAAATTCCATTCTTTCGTTCAACCACAGAAAGAGTTTCTCTCTGGAAGACTTGATGCCTTCAAATAGTATGCGAGGAACTTTTGGTCAGCGGCTAGCTCTGAGAAAGATCGCGCGCCATGCGATGCCAGCAGGCCGAAAAAAGAGTGTTCCACACTTGCTGCCCAGGATTTCCAAGGTTAAAAAGAGAGATTAAAAAGAGAGAGAGATTAAAAAGAGAGAGAAATTAAAAAGAGAGATTAAATTAAATTAAAGTTACTCAAAGGCTGCAGATTTGGGCCCTGTTGGCAGCAAGTTACCTTTCCATCCACTTGAATTTCTTCACATTTATATCATAATTACTACAAATAACATCCCCTGTACTTTCCATGAAATTATTGTCCGTTAGTTCTCATTATTACTGTGTCTAGCAAAGAAAAAATGAACCCTTCCTATTCCCCTTCTAAAGTTATACTATTACTCATTTTAAAACGAAAGTCGGACTCAATTAGAATTTCTCTCTCCCCCTACATACACAAGGGGCATCATATCAGATCGATACATTAGTGGAAGGTTGTAAGGTAAACATGTTTGACAAAGATCTGTCTGAATCAAAATTTCAAACTTTCCAGCCACTTTTAGTATATATTTTTTATTAGTAACATTAAATCGTGGCCCTTTACGTTTGTAGACGTATTCGGTCCCTTCCTTAGGGGGTAAACGTCTAGCCGACTCTGAAGCTAGTGACTTTTCTTAGTGGTGTCCCCTCTCTACCGACTATCTCGTTGCTGTAATGTTTTTTCCAATGATACTGCAGCCCATGTACATATACACTAAGCAGGGTCCCAGTTGAGCTGTTAATGTTTCCAGGTGTTGTTTTGATATGCCACGACTCTAAGAATTGCATTTCTGTGCGGCTACCTTCTGTGATAATGACCCGAGCATCGTCGAAGTTTATGCGATGGTCTATCTTTTTGCTGTGTTCTGTGAGAATGTTTTGTGCACCATTGAATCTACGCATATCGCTCCAGGGTCACGTACCCTTTCCGGAATGTTTTTTGTCTGACCGATGTAACTGGCGTGGCAATCAGTGCATGGAACCTTGTGGACTAGCCCAGTGAATTTTTTTTGGCAACCGGTGTTTTGGCTGCAGCAAGAATCACCCAATCGTTTATGCAGGTTTGTGCACCACTTGAACACCATCCTTCCCAACACCATCACCAGTAGCTCGGTTATTCCTAGGATGTATGAAACCGCGACACGATAGGGTTGTTTGGGGGAGGCATCATTGTTAGTGCCACTCTTTGCAGAAGAGGGCATGTAGGAGGCACCTTCTCGGCAGTCACGTCGCTGGCATACCAGTACCACTGGGCCAGTTTTTAATTTTAATATTAAAACTATAGACTAAAAGTGGCTGGACCTTTTGTTTAATTGATATACTTGTAAAACGTGTAATGATAGGTACAAAAATGAGTACACATCTTTCTAGTTTTAACATAACACTTCTGTTCTGACCTCACACAAAGCAACTTCCATAGCTTGGCAAAAAAACTTGTGGAGCTCAGTCAGACTCACTTGGGAAATACATTTTTCAACTTGAGGCCATTCGAATTCAGACTTGCCAAAATTTTCCTGCGCCGAACTCACTCGGACTCACACTTACGAAAATGTTTCATAACTGAACTCACGCAGACTCAAACTCGCCAAAATAATTGACACCCGGGCTCACTCAGACCCAGACTCACGGCTCGATCGAAGTCTGAATGGGTTGACTCATGAAGCTTTGAGCCTAGAATTGGCTTTTAGGACCATCATGTCACGTAATCAGTGCTTTTCTTAGCGCATTTTGATATTGTACCTTCAAGAGTGCTCGCAAACAACTAGGCACATTTTTCTTCAAAAAGATCACAACATAATATATATTTATCAAGAACTTCCCGAGAAAAAGTGTGCGAGGGAGAGATGTCAAGGCATCCAACTCGCGCCTCTGATTATTAAATATTGAAATTGTGTATGAACGACACTGCTTTGGAGCATGTGTGAGTAGACTCGAGTATAAACGTAAATCCAGGTAAAGGTGATAGTAATGCTGAAGATGAGTATATGGAACCGTAGGTCAACAGCAAAAAATAGTAGAGCTCACTCAAAAAATTTATCTTGCGCTTGGGGTTCATTTAGAATCGGGCTCACAAAAATTATCCCGAGACAGGCTTACTCAGACTTACACTCACGAAAATTTGCTTCAACCATACTCACTCTTATTCAGACTCGCCAAAATATCACTCATTTGGGCTAACTCAGACTCAACGCTTGATCTGAGCCTGAGCAAGACCAAGTGAGTCGACTCATGAGTGTAAGTTCACCGGCCGGGGGTGACTTGTTCCTCTTCCCTATCATGTCTCATGCAGAGCACACAGTGTAGGAAAGAATTTAGGGATGACAAAGTAGTCATTGCTCAAGTCGAGCTGCACCTGAACTCTCAAAATGCAAGACTTCTACTGCAGCAGCTCATGTATCATTGGCAGAAGTGTGCTACTTTGGGAAAAGATTATGTAGAGGAATACATTTTTACTTGAATTTCATTTCTTTGTCTTTCTCTCTTCATGCCACTATATGAATTTTATGAATGCCTTTTGCACATGCCACCCACCCAGGGAAAATGAAAACTATGCTTGTGTGATCTGCAATCTGTTACCTTCAGGAATAGCCCTTTTAGATGGACTGATGTAAAACAAAAGACACCACTGTGGAATGTATGGCTACTGACAACAGCCATAGCTGTTGTGAATTTAATTGTTATTACTGTCTCCTAATGTGGCTTAGAATGACAGCAGGTGATGTCTAGTCAGGGATAATAATAATTGTTAGAGCTTTACACCAGAAAAGCCCAATATAATTATGAGATGTACTATTGAGGGGCTCTCCAAAAAATTTGACCATCTGAGGTTCTTAAACATGTCCCTAAATATGAGTAACGAGTGTTTGCATTCAGACCCCATTGAAGTGTGACTGGCATGGCCGGGAATCAAAACAGTGCCCTTGAGCTCAACAGCACATCGTAAGTGCTAAGCCACTACAGTAGGTGTCTAGCCAGCGCTACCTCTGCATGCAGTGAGACGTGTTCTCACCACTATCACAGCACACAGCAACCATGGAGTACAATGTTTCTTCTAAACAGCACTACGCTGACTGCACAAGTCCCCAATTTAACAAAATAGTTTGTGGGTCCTGGTGACCTCGTTCAATCTTGGTTCAATTGTAGGTTCTTTCACATGGATTGTACAATTAAAAAAATGCGTGGAGAGAAGCTTACATCTTGCTTTCATTCGGTCACTTCAAGGTATCATGCAAAAATTTTGATTGTTCTGCAAGCTCACTCAATAAATATTATTACAAGCCATGATGAAAAACAAGGAATGCTCCATGAAGACTATGAAAATCACGATTCAAAATAGTGCTCGCATTGTTGCTGCTGTTCTGCCATCTTGGCTAAAGGACTATATGTGTTCCATGTATATTTTGTAAATATATTTCTTTCTTCCTTTGGCTATCATCCCGACGTGAAATTTCGGTGAGGTGCTAGGTCCCAGGACCTTGTGCATAAGAAGTATGTCTTTCACTACTACTGACCACATTTTTCACATTAAAAAGATCGCTCCCACAGAAAAACAATTCTGGCAATGCTGTATTATCTGTTGGCTTTTAGAGTACACTCTTACTAGAGAGATGAGAGATGCGGAAAGGCAGGCAGGTAGATCGGAAAGCAAGTATCTGGTTTGCTACCCTGCACTGGGGAAGAAATAAGTAAAGACAGAAAAGTAATAAAAGCACAAACTTCTAAGGGAACACAATACAAGCTCAGTGCTACAGAAGAAAAACAATGCCTACGTGAATGAGAGTCTGATAGCTCCAGCAGGTTTCCACTCGGGCATGTTGCATGGGCTTTCTGCTTCCAAGAAGACGCATTGTCCGTACCGTCCTGGCAAAGCAGGCAGTTAGCGCCAAAGACCTCAGGCGCTGAATGTGCTGTAGAGATACTCCAGTTAGCACCCATACAGTGCTGCCAGTGCTCTGTGAGAGCAACAATCGAGTCGCCGGCTGCTGAATAAAACTCGTGCTCTGGCATCGCATCTGAATCTATGCCCAAGTCAGGAGATGTGTGCTGAGACCTGGAATGTGCACAGGTATGACGACTAGCTCGCAGTGGGATCACAGGCTGCCTCGAGGATTCCGGAGCACTCTGGTGAGGGCTTAGCTGTGGAGGTGAACTGCTCTTCGGAGCAGTGCTGAACTGCAGTGATGCGTCTGATGTGCTTGTGTTTCCTGCACCAGGAAGGAAGAACAAGAGAGTGGTCATTCCACGTCAAATATCCCAGCGATTTCGGCAGTCCCCTCAAGGAAGAAAGTTGTGCCACCACAGTAGTTAGTTTTGCTGCACTGAAGAAAGTGAACTGCTTGAATACTTCAGAGAGAAAAACTTTTTTGGTCACATGGGAGCCTTCCTGATTTTGCAGTAGAGTGCAAAGCATTAAATTGCAGTTGATTACAGTGAATTGGAAAGATGACACGAGTGACAAGCAAACACAAACGCAAAGCTCAAGCAAAACAAGCATGCTTGAGCTTTGCCTTCAAAAACAGAATGCGATAGTGTAATATCGAGCCATGTGCATATCGCCTTCTCAAGTGCTAGCCTGGCTTCGGTTCTCGGTGCATACCTAAACCGTGCTGTGTGGGAACGAATGAGCGTGCACGTAACATTCGCTATTTAAAGCTACCCTAGAATGCCTACTGCAAGTGCAGTTGTTAGGTGCCCGCTACACCATAAGTCTTCCTTTTGCGAATCGGCGAAGAGCCCACTATGCGTCTGTAAAGCAACACGCGAACCTACGCAGCTGCTCACTTTGTTGATGCTTTTGCAGCTGATGGTTACATATTTCTGAGCACTTAGAAATGTGTGGGCTTCAAAACACCCACTCGTTGCTTAATTCACATCTTTTGATGCCTAGTGAAATTCTCCACTTCAGCCACACAATATATGATGCGTTAAGGAGACATCCTACTACATGACATTCATATAGTGTTTTTTTGTCATCACCCCCCCCCCCCCAAAGCAGTTTCAAGCATAAGCGTAGCTCCATGGTAGAATAGCTGCTTGCCGTGCAAATGAACCGTCTATTAGTCGAGCCTAAGACTTTTATTATTGATTTTATTTGCAATTTTTTCAAATTTTCGGTCATGGACAAGATCATTTTTCACTAACAACCAACAACACCGACATCGAAATTTTTTAGTAAAGAGCTCTCTAGCCTGCTCAAGAAAAAGTGGCAGATAAAAGGAAATACCAAGAAAGCAGAAAACAGTCTTACCAGAACTATTAACTTGGTGCGGCTCTCTTGCTCTGAGCTCAAACTTCAGGCGTCTATTTTCATGTACAGCCCTTTCGAGCTTGAGTTTGAGCTCACTCACAGCACTCTGCAAGCTGGAATGAAAAAAAATGGGTAAACAAATGGAGGCAAAATACCACTCGTAAGAAGTCTCTTTGCTTGTAAATAATACGGTGTTCACACACCTTCAGTGTTAATGCAAACAAAAAACTTTTTTAAACAGCCACTTCAGTGAACTTTCCATATATAGCACACTTGTACCTATTATCTCGGTAGGTACATGGTGGCAGCCATTCCCTACTTCCCACAGTAGTGCCGGATGCTCGACTATTTCACCAAGCATGTAGTATGCTAAAGGGACCCTAAAGTGAATCAATGAATGCACTTAGGTCAATAAATTGTACTCTGAGAACTATAGTGTCGTTAATTTCACCATCATATTTTTAAATAATTAACAAGAAACTCAAGGTCAAAGTTTCTTGCGTCTGAATGTCTGTGGGTTTCACCATGGATTTCAGTGTTATTTTTTATACGTGACATTTGCCGGACGAAATTTTCTAAAACTTGGTATGTTGAATCAATGGCCCTCTCAGAGGACAATGTACAATTTCCCCAATTAGGAACTATGCATGACCTAGCAGAGGCCATTAGAATCAATGACGTCATGGCATTTAGCGTGGGAATAACAAAGTGGCATCACCACACTCATTTTCATGTGTTATCTTGCTTACTGCTCACTCAGCGCTACCTCACGGTAAGAGTAATGTTTTTCCTAAAATTGCAATTTACTAATGTGTGAAAAATTGTTTTTTGTTTTTAGTGTCCCTTTAAGTACACGCAGAGGCCTTCACAGATTCTTATAAGGCCACTTTTTGACAAAAGATTAGTATACATAAACAACATCAACAACAGAGTGCCACATCGTTGTATTTCTGTATGCCTTGAAAACGTCAAAGGTTTTTGGTTGGTGAGAATTGAACTGGATACCTACAGGGTTAGCTCAAAATTTGCATTTTCGTGCATTATGCTTAGTTTATCAAATTATTCTCTAATAGTGTACCGCTACTTGACACTTGTTAGATCCTGACTCAATTTTTGTATATTGTCTTTGTTATGTCCAGAGCTGTCGTCGTCCCATACATGTACTCCTGGAACAGTAGTGAAAAGGTATAGGCAACCTTGAATGGTTAAAACTTGTTTATTCCTACTCAGACAAAGGCGGTAGCCGAGCTGCCGTTGGTAAGCGATCGGCGGACTATTGTGTCAAGCGGGGGACCAGAGTCGTTTGCAACCGGTCATTCAATGCTTCATTGTGTACCACTCGGAGGCTCGCTCAAGACTCAGGGGTGGCTTGAAACACAACATCTCCTCCCTCCTTAAATTGTCTCTTAGAAGCGATCTGGGGGCCGCCGTTGTTGCGTGGACGCTCTGGGGGGAAGAAAAGCCTTGGCTCATTGAGCGTCATTTTCCTTGTGTTCAGTGCCGGTCAGCGGTGGCGCCGATTCATCATGCCAAGCCAAGTGGGACGAAGCTTTTGTCGGTGTGCCTGCTTGAATCGAAGATTCCCTTGACAAACTACCTGGACGACGTAGCTGATTAAGGTGGCGGCGTGTGGCCTTTATGCTGATGTTGACGAGCCATGACCACAAACCTGTGCATTTGAGCACCGTCGCTTCAACCCAGCTAGACCATCTGTTAAACTGGCGGGCGTATATGAGCTGCCCGCTTTCAACTCTCCTGCTACGCGGGAGCTTTTCTTCCTTGAACAATGTCTTCGCCGAGGACTCCGGGACAATTGCTGTCAGCTGCGTTTGCATTTCTCAGCAGAGTATCGATAACTGCAACCGATGTCATTGTGGCCATTTGTTTTACCTCCAGCCATTTGGTGTATGCGTCAACAATCACCAGGAATGAGCATCCTTCGATAGGTCCAGCAAAGTCAATGTGCCTGGAAGAGCCAAGGCGTTTCTGGTCTTTCCCATTTCGATATAGGAGCTCTTTGTGGGGCTCTGTGGTTGCATTGGCAAGGCTAGCAATCGTGAGCTGTTGTTTCGATGTCATGGTCGATACCTGGCCACCACATGTAACTTCTGGCGCACTTCTTCTTGTCAACAATGCTTGGATGACCTGTGTGAACAAGCTACATGACTTGTTCGCGAAGTGCCGCAAGAATCACCACTCTTGATCCCAAGGTGACCCAGCCGCAATGAGTGCTCCATCGCGTAGCTCGCTTGCGGTAAGCGTTGAAGTGTTTCCCTTTTAGCTTGTGCACGTTTCCTTCCTGTGTAGCTGTGTGGACTTCCTTCAAGAGCGTGCATTCCTGTGTTGATGCTGCTACTGTGTCAACCGTTATCGGAGGGTTTCACAGCGCTTCGAACATGAGTATATTACCTGGCGGGAGTGGTTCGTCTATTGTGATGTCTAGCGGCAGGCAGCTTAGTGCGTTGGCGTTCTGGTATTTCTTGCCAGTGAGATGTACAAGTTCATAATCGTACGCCGACATCTTGATACACCATCATGTAATTCATGGCGACAACATTTGTGGCCTTAGTTTCTGGGGGCCCATAATGCCCAATAAGGGCCGGTGATCAGTTATGAAGGTCACTTTTCTGCCGGTAATATACTGTCGAAAGTGGTCTGCTGCGTAGACGATGGCAAGTCCCTCTTTGTCTAGCTGGGAATAATTCCTCTCTGCCTGCGATAGGGTGCGCGATGCGAAAGCGATCGAGGCTTCCCGTCCCTGGTCGTCAGCTTGGGAGAAGACTGCTCCCACTCCGTATGGTGATGCGTTACAGGCTAGCAGTAGGGATCTCATTTTGTCGTAATGTCGCAGAACAGTAGACTTCTGTAGCAGTTCCTTAAGGGCAATAAATGACTCTTTGTAGCGTGACAACCAAGTCCATGAAACTTCTTTTTGAAAGAGCTCGTATAGATCATTGGCCACTGTAGCTCGATCTTCTAAGAACCGGTCGTAGAATGTTAATAGCCCCAAGACGACTGCAATTCTCGTTTATTAGCAGGCACTCATGCTTCAGTGATTGCTCGCACTTTGTCTTCAGTGCAGTGAATACCCTGCGCGTCAATCTGATGTCCAAGAAACTTCACTTCAGGCACCGTAAAAAACACATCTTTCCTTGCTGATGCGCAAGTTAGCATATGATAGCCTTTCAAGAATGAGCCCCAGACATTCTGTGTGCTCTTCATTGGAGGTGCCCCAGACAATAACATTATCTAAGTAGACGTAAACTCCAGGGATCTCGCTAAATGTAGACTCCATAAATTTCTGGAAGATTGCTGGTGCTGCAGCTATGCCGAATGGTAGCCTTTCCACTTTGTAGAGACCCTTACTGGTGCTTATCGCGAGTAGTTCAAATATTGATTTGCTTGCCTTCAGTTGCTGGTAGGGTTGCATCAAATCCAAGGTGCTGAAGATTTTTCGACCCCAGACGTGCTAACAACCTCTTCCGGTGTCGGCAGTGGGTAGGACGATGCCTTTGTAGACAAGTTGACGGTGTTCCGGTAGTCTCCGCAGAGGCTTAGAGTACCGTTCTTCTTTCGGACAACAACGAGTGGTGTAGCCCATTCTGAATGTTGCGTTAGTTTGATAATCCCTTGCTCCTGCAGTCGGTCAAGCTCATTCTCGACTGACGTTTGTAGAGCAAAAGATACCGACCTAGCTTTAAAAAATTTCGGCGTTGCATCTTCTCGCAGCTCCAGTGTGACTGGAGGTCCATTGCTTCCTGATATTTCTTCGAAAAAAAAAAAAAACCGCCTTGTACTTCTCTTGGAGCTGCTTCACCGACGGATAGCTGGGTGCATGGTTAACTCCGCCAACGACCACTCCAAGAGGGATGAAACGATTTCGGCCTAAAAGGCTTGATCCGGAGCTGGAAACGACTAGCAATGGCTGATGGTGAGCCTGGCTGTTGTAGTTTTACGTTGGCACAACCCAGTAGTGGAAGGGAAAGTCCTGCCCACGTTCTCAGCTGCGTGTCGTCTTGCTGGAGAGTTAGTGCGTTCTCCTTTTAAGTGGCTCGAAAAGTGTCCTCACTGATGAGCATGCATGCTGCTCCAGAATCTACCTCAAACTTGGTGGGGCGATGGTGTACTACGATTTCTGTCATTATCTTCAGTCTCATGCCGAAACTCCCAACGGCGTTTAAGTCGTATAGAGCTGCTGACGTCAGTGATGTTCTGGTTGTGCTATCTTGTGTCTGGTCACCTTGAGCGTCGACATTGTTGTTACATTGGGCTGAACTTTTCGGCCTGGGCTGTTTGTGCTTGGTTATGCAAGACTTTTCGATGTGTCCCCATTTTTGGCGAAAATTGCACATACTTGTCTTGAATCCACATACCAGGGGATCGTGCATGTCGTCGCATCGCCAACAGCGCTGTGTTTTTTTCATTGAGTTGGCCGTGGTAGCAGAATAGCGTGGCTGCTGACTGGTGTGGTGTACTGGTTAGACGTTCTGTCGGATATCCCTCTGCTGGTGACCGGCACTCTCCGCTCGCTGGGCGATGTCGTACGCTTTAGAGAATGTGAAACCCGTCTCTGCAAACAGGCGTTGTTGTAGGCTCTTGTCAAGCAGTCCGCACACAAAATGGTTCCACAACATAACGTCCAAGGGGAGCAAAGTGGTGTTAGCAGGCATGGTAGTCGATCCTCCCTCCTGTGCAGTAGCTGAAGTTACCGAGTTCGGCATCCCGAAATTGCGGTTATTAGCGAGTTTATTAACGGTTAAAACTTGTTTATTCCTACTCAGACGGAGACGGCAGTCGAACTGCCGTGGGTAAGGGATCGGCGGATGGTTGTGTCGAGCGGGGGATGGAGGAGGAGAAGTCTGTGGTGTACACGTATCCCAAAGGAGTACGGCCACCAGCGTGGGTCCGGTCTTAGGGAGCCGCAGGGCACGCGTAAACCGTCGCCGTGGCGAGAACACGATACTGCTCAAAGTCACAACACTTTATTGTCTGTGGCCGCCGAACGCAGTACAGCCGTTACAAAGGCGCGACGGGAAAGCAAATACGCTTATCCACGCCACGGGCACAGAAGTACTACACAGGGTGCCACGAGCACGTCTCCGCGGTAAAGGTG